ACTGGTTAACACACTAAATATCAGCTAAGAATTGGGCCCACTGTGCACAGAAGTAGGTGCCCTTAATTTTAGTGAAGTCACTGAGAAGAGTAGTTATGATTACCTCTCTTGTTTGGTCTTGAGATTCATGGCTGAGATATCATGGTACATGGCCGCTCCCCTGACTGTGTCCATCTGTGTGATGACACCATAGGGACTCGTCCCCCGCTCCTTGACCAGAGGATCCGAGACGTTAGGATCAAACATGATGGCATTTGGAGTGACCAACATGGTACCACTGACCACACCCTGGAAACAAGAGAGTTGTTGGGCAAGTGAATTTGGAATCTTGCAATCAAGGGAGATCACTGTCATTATGCCTAATTACACAGACAGCTCTTTTTATCAAGGCCTTTTTTTAAATGTAGGTTAATCTCCTTTAGTTTCATCAAAAGCTTCATGATTAGTTTCCAATGTCCCATGGTCTGTTTTAGTTTGCAAAATATAAAGATGCAGGAAGGAAAGCATTCTTTGTCCTCCAAGATGCATTCAGCCCATTTAAATGAAAGCACATTGACATGAAATTGATTACACTGTCCCTTTTGAAGTCTATAACCTTATTCTAATCCTGAGATGGATTTGAAAGCTAACTACACCATGACCAACCTCTCCATCGGTGATATACTTGACATTCAGTTTCAAGAAGTTTTTGCTCTCTTCTGCATCATCATCTTGTGAGCGGTCTCGGATCACCCTGCCTGGCCTTGGTTCGGTCTGATAGCGAAGCAGAGACTTCCGACCACGTTTGCTGGAGCTTGATGCCTTTTCCTCTTTACTCTTGGACTTCAAGAGATGGAAACGTCTGGAATTGGCGCTCGTCTTAGTCTGGGTGACTTTGGGAACGTCTGCTTTCTGACTTACCACAGGGAGGTCCTTCATCAAAAACAAAAGTCACTCTTACATGAAAGGAATTCAGTAAACATTCAATTTAACAATTATACAATAAGTGTTGAAGCTTTCCAATTAACTTGTGTATGTCTGCGCCTTTCTTCTCAAGAAAATATTCTTATAAAGGATGCCAAATGTTCATTTCATAGGCATCTCTCAAATAATTTTGAAACCATTACGTTAGGGTTTGAAACTGAAAGGCAGACTTTCTGATTTGTAAATCCAAAATGTCCAGAAGTGATACAAGTAACAAGACTAAGAACTGAACAGAATCATATTTCCTCATTCTGAGTTTCCTGTCCCATGCTTGTGCCTCAACAATTTCAAGGGGGTAACTATTCATGATGAATTGCAGGCTCTTGTGGTAGTGAGGTGGTTTCAATCTTCCTTGACTGTTAGTTTATTCCTACAATCCCATTCAAACCCCTAGGGTTTGTTATTTCTCTCTGTTCCATACAAGCATTATAAATACTGATGAAAAGTGTCATAAATATTCATAAGTAGAGGTAGTCTGTGCATTATTAAACTATATTGATGACAACCTTTTCAAAGATTTGCATTTCAATATATAAGAGAAATGTACTGAGCTTACTGTAACGTGTGGTTTCAATTTCTTTGTCCCAAATCCCTCCACATTGGCATGTCGAGGATGTTGGAAAGTAATATCTGCCAATATCTGAGATAGTTTGTGATGTATAATTTTCAGCCAGCTTAATGTTTCCAAACTGGCTGTTTTGGGGGGAAGTAAATATGCAGGTTAGGTAGGTTATTGATATGAAGTAAAATTACTGGCAAAAAACACATACATGTACATGTTTATGTCAGGTTTTCCACCTCAAAAGAGGTGAAGTGAGTTGAACTTTTCCCCTTTTTCCAAAAGATGTTCTAAAGTTTGCTGTGCTAAGAAAGAAACTGCATTGGTTTTACAGCAAGGAAAACTCACAAATGTTTTCTTAGTTGTTGAGGAAGGGCTCAAGCAGAGAGGCTCAGGTGAATCAGGATCGGGCACATACAGAATCTAGAGAAAAAGAGAGAGAAAATTGACTGAAATAATAGTTCCTTATTTACACAACATACACACCTGTATGTACATGTACAACGTACATGTATCTCTTCAGTAACAAACCAGTTCTAAGCAAGAAATTGTTGGCCAAAACAACAATATTGCATGCAGTGTTGGTGTTTTTAACCCTACCAATCCTTAGTCCTCCAACAGGTGAAGGATTGAGGACTGTTAGGGTTAGTATTTTGAAAGATTTAAGATGGTAAAGTCTAGCTACCATTGCTTGATGCTATTGAGAAATCTCACTGCTGTTGTAATCAGTCCAGACTTCAGAAAGATTCAGGCTATTTCTTAACAGTGCCTTGGGATGGAATGTTTTGACTTGGTCAAAGTAAGAGAACATGACATCAGCAACTTGGAAAAGCCACAGAAATTCATGAATTCAGCAAACATCGACTGAAGCCAAGATGGACAAATAGCTGTAAATGCATAGCCTTTAGGGAGGACTCAAAGACAGATGCATGGTCACACAGCAAGCCTGGCTTATGTAGTGATCCCCTGAACACGGATGGATTGAGGTATAGCATGGCTAAAACTAGGCTAGAGGCAAAAGTCAATCCAGACTACTATTCTTGGACACCTCTTCTGTGACATAAAGAAAACCCTTAAAATGGGCACAATGAATTCCTTTGTTATGAAAATATTGGAAGGCTTGAAGAAACACAGTCTCTCCTGAGTTTATCACAAATTGATCTGCAGAAACCACAATACAACTGTTTTGCTCCCTACCTTCCAGTGCTATTCAAGAGAAATTTTATAATTTTAGCCTTAGAAACCAAATGTGCTACAGCAATATATAGCAGCACCATTAATAAGTGGCACAATGCACATATTCTTCTGTTGACCTTTAAAAAAAAACAGCAGATCTATTCTAGAAAAACAAAATTTGTCATCCTTACAACCTGTCAGAAAAGAAGAAAGCTGTAATTCATTTATTTTCCTCTTGATTTTTTTTGGGGGGGGGTAAAAGGACACTTGAAGGAAGGATTCACAATTTCAAGAGACAGATCCTTGGCTGAAGACAAAATGACCGCTACTCTGACATTAAGAATGAACCCAGCATTAAATCTGCTCCTCTTTCAGGCCTTCTCTGACTCTCATTAATTCTTCAGATCCTGTTCCTCGGGATATGCCCAGCAAGACTTTGAGATGTCAGAATAACAGCTCATCTGCCACAAAGGGAAACTAATCTGCTTTATTTGTTCAAATATTATAATTTGATATGGAGGAAGATCATCCAACCGGTCACACTGATCAACACAAAAGCAATTTTTTCTTCTCTCAACTTTATTTTGTTTAGACAAGACAATGAAGAAAAGCTCAGTTTAAGATGTGAGAGAATAATCCCACACACAGGAATCTGCCGAATTCAGTATGGACTGCAACCAATCAACATACCGGTACCAGCTAAGGTGAGATGTGAACCTGGGACACAAGGCAAAAGTTAAAGATGTACAAATGTACCAACCTGGCTTCATTTCAATCTGGTACCAGTCATTACAACTGTCATAGAAACACACATCTCAGCACTGAATAAACAAACAAATTTCAAGCATCTTTTTTTTTCATATGTACATGCGGGCTCTTCATCCACTCCCATTTGAAATAGAATGTTATCATTCCATTGCAACCTGATGCTTAGTTGTCTTGTCAAAAATCAGCCAATGGCAGAGTCTACTAAGCCCACACATTTTCTACTACAGAAATTTTGTTTTCACTGCCAAGTGTTTGCTGATGGTATTGGCTTTCAGGCTCACACATCAGTCAGAGAGAATAGTGATCTGTATTTCCCATTCAAAATGATCTGTGTGTGGATCTAGCCATGGTTGTGTATTAAATCTCAAAGAGGTGTTCTATGTGGAAGGGGTGCATACATGTACATGTATTTACCCACTTCCATCAATTACTGTTGTCCTTAGTAAATACCCCTCTTCAGCGATTTATTAAAACACAGCTAGGGAGGAAAGCTACTGCTTGAAACTGGCACTGACATGAAGACTATTCATGGATATCCCTGTGTTAACTAGGCTACAACAGCTTAACACTGGAGATTCTTCAATTCTGAATATTTCTTCTTCATTATCATATTCTCAAAACTACAAACAATTTAAGAAAAAGGGTTCATAAGGCTGGTTTGCTTCCTAAGTACGTGTGCAAAGAAACAGTGCTGTAAAATTGATCACGAAGCTGTTGTTTAACAGCTCCAAGTGTGATAGTGTATTTCCACACTCCTAGATTAAAATAACGTTTTTCCTGATGCATTTCAAAATCAGCTAGAGACTTTATTCTCAATTGGTGACACCATGGAACCTCACAGGAAAGCCATGCATGTGAATTAAAACATCTGCAATATTTTGTCTCAAAATAATCCCTTGGTGAATGGACAGCAACTCTTTAATCTTGTTTTAATTTGTTTTTGTACTTGTTTTTCATTTGAAAGTTTTCCTGACTGGCTTGCTGAGGGAATGGAACTGAACCAAACCCTGCAGCAAATGATCTCCAAAGTGTCTGGCCATGTGTACACATGAGCCGGTCCTTGGGGCATTCTGGACACAAATGAACCATTCCATCTGTGGCCACAGAGTCTCTGATTTTTGCGATAATCACAAGCATGACCTAAGGCTAACATCAAGACTAGTTTTTTCCCCTTGATGGCAAACCGACAGAAGATGGGAGGTTGTGCTTTATTTTTAAAACCGCTGCTGGGGCTACATGTGAATGCTAGAAGAAAAATGAGGCACTTGAAAGCAAATGAGGTGGTGGAAGGGAACCTTTATCAACAATTAGCTGGATCTTGGGCCAGATGGAAGAGACAAGAAATTGGAATGACAAAAATTATGTTGTACTGGTAAATGATGAGTTCTGTGTAGCTTGACCTTTTTTCTAGATTTTTTCTCAAAACCTCCCAAAATTTGACAACCTGTGATATTTCTCAAATCTCAGTTTTTGTCTTTGGCAAATGCTATTAATGACCCCAAACATTCGTATACCTTTCACCTTTAATAGTGGAAAATCTGGAAATAAACTGATTTTCTTGCACCACAAAATCTACCCTATAGAGCATCAGTCTCAGAGACATACCAGTGAAAACAAAATATGAAATGAAAGCCTGAAGCTGGAAATGATCTCAAGGTATGGGAAACTGCCAGAATTCTTAAGGGACGGTTAAATTAATGCCCGCCTGTCCAGTGAAATGGCCTGGAATTCTTAAGGGATGGTTAAATTAATGCCCGCCTGTCCAGTGAAATGGCCTGGAATTCTTAAGGGATGGTTACGAAGATGCCTTCCTGTCCAGGGGAAAGGCCTGGAATTTTAGGGCATGGCAACAAAGATGCTTACCTGTCCAGGGAAATGACCCTGAATCCTTAGTGGAGGGTTATAAAGATGCCTACCTGTCCAGGAAACAGCATGCGACTGCTGAGATGGTTCAACCGCATAAGCTGAGTAGGTGTGGACTCAAACTGAAGGGCTATGCTATCCAGGGTGTCATTTCCAGCCACCTGTTAATGTACAACAGAGGAAAGCAGGTGCTAAAAGCATTAAAAGGAATGAAATGTATGTATGGTCACTTCAGTATCTCAGGTGCAATACACTTGCACTTTTGGGCAAATACAGGGGGCAGTCAAGAGGTATCATTGAGACAGTTAAAGAGGCTGCAATGGGCATGAATACCAGTACGTAGATGTGCGTGTACTATTGGTATGGTGCACATGTACAAGCAGTTATGCATCACCTTGTATGAGATGTACATGCGTGGGATGCAAATACACTGTACATTTATAAAGAAAAGCTTCTCCTAAGGGCTTGCCAAGTGACAGGAGTAACCATTAATACAATGTAATACAAAGACTTCATCTTATACCAAACATGTACAGTGGAACACTGCTATACCGAATATTTGGCTGTACCGAACATCGTCCTTGGCTCCCAATAATTTGAGCACAGAACCTACCGAACACTATGCAGTCGCCGTTTGTAATTCCCAAATGTCAACATGATAAAACAGTCAGTGTTTTTTATGTTGGAAA